CCCCAAAACCCCAAAACCCCAAAACCCCAAAACCCCTTATGCTTGCAATAAAAACTAAGAATAATAAATATGGAATCTAAAAAAACTTTGGACCCGAGACTTCTAAGTGCGATTCAAGACAAATTACTTATGAAGCTCTTCAAACACAAAAAGATTACATTCAAAAATGAGGTTCCTCAACGAAGATCTAAAAGAGTTGAATTTGAATCACAAAAGAAGTCAAAAACTTTTTATAGAGGTACTCATCACAAATTTTATGCTCTTATGATTCACCATTTCATGTGGTACTTCTCTTACTAATAAATTTAATCTCAAATTTTAATAATTCATTAAAACTAAGATTTTAGGCTTTAAATAGGAGAACACCTCATTTGTAGTACTTTAAAATCAGGATATAAGATTGCTTGTTCTGCAAATCTGCCAATGCCATATAGCCACTCCGCTTTTGTTCAGCGTTCTTTTGTGGTTTATTAAAAGAGAGTTGCTGCTCATCACGATTTTGAGCACTTTGTGAATCCATTATAGCTTATTTCTTTACATACATGTTGCATTTCTGAAATATGGAGATTTATAGTAATGGTATTTGAGGAAGGTAAAAGCTATATTTCTGCAACTATCCTTCAATTTTAATCATTTACTATGTACAAATCTCATTATTATCTAATATTTCAAATATCGTTTAGTCTCTAGTACTATTTTCTTTGAGTTTCCAGTATATATAAAAATTTATGAAATTAGTTATTAATTTTCTATAAAATGCTTTTAATGTTAGAATAAAGTCTGCCAATCGGTAATAGGCTAAAATTTGTATTAAAGCTATTATCCAAAAATTCAGGTGATATATGTATCATGTTTCATAAAGTTTTTCAACATAACCTGAATATAATTTTAAGAAACCCAATAGCAGAAAATGTCAAATTTTGATTCATGTAACAAATTTAGCTCTATTATATAAGTTAAATAATTTTTACATATTTAAGGTTCTGAGTTAAACAGACGATTTGTAGCAGAAAAAAGTTGCTTTCTATCGAATATAGCAAAATTTTATGAGATAAAATATTTTGAACTGAAGGCTAAGCAATTTTATAATAGCTTTTGGACTAATGTTGCTGCTTAAATACAAAAATTACAGGCTAAATTGAATGAAGGTTTCTCGTTTTAAAAAATTACATATTTTGGTGAAATGTTTATAATTTTGAAGATGTTGACAATGGTATGATTATTATGCCAAAATAAATTAAGTCAATATAATCATATAAATACTCCAGATTAACAGAGTGAAGATTTCATAACTAATTCAGCCTGATAAACACTCACTTATCGTCTAGATTATTTATTCAAGAGCTAGAATCTTACTTTGAACACATATTACAATTTATTCAAGTTTAAATCGCTTTGTCTCAGGTTAAAAGCCAACAAGGCTATTATTTGTGAGTATGACAGACTTAATAAATTCCCCCATGGTTTGAAATAAATAGAACTGATTTCTAAAGACTGGTTATTATTAATAAAATATGAAAATGTGTGACTAAAATGATTTCCCATGAAGGTAAACTTAATCGAACATTTTGCAACGATTAACTTGAAACAAACTGTTTGGGATTATTTATTAAAACATTTATTGAAATTTTTAGAGATATCTGAAAAGGAGAATATTTTGAATATCATTCTGGATGAAACTCTCTTTTGTTTACTGAAAAATATCTTGAATGCTACCAGAATTATCTTTGATCCGCAATCTAGAGTGTAAATAGAACTAGATCCTCACTAAAGTCCTAATATCCATAGCTGGCACTATTATAATCATGAAAGTCCTGATGACAATTCTTTATACCACCTTTAATAAGTTTAATAAATCTTGTGATTCATGAGCAATGTGAGTCACCCAATTAATGATCTTATAAAGTCCGTTTACATTTTTTATCTCAAATTGTGTTTATAAGAATCTCTAAAATTATCTTGACTCACAGAAGATAAAGAAACTATTTAGTAGAAGGCAGCCAAACTGAGCAATTGAGATTTATCAATTTTGAATTATCTTTGGCTCAGCTCTTGTGACAAATGAAAAGTTCTTTTAATAAGTGGATGTATAAGTTGTTTCAAAAGGCAAATATTTGAATAAGTTACCCCTAAAATTGTTTTGTATTTTGTTCTAAATTTAGCTTATGTATAGATAAAGCGAAGGATCTTATTGAAAGATATTCAGGGATGAACACAGAGGACTCCAAATATTACCTTGTGAAAGTGAATGTCAGAATGAATGTATATAAATTATTAATATATTTCAGAGAAATATCAGGTCTCCTGGGAGACAAACCAGGCTTTTATCACCTCTTAAAGGCCAAGTTCGAAAAAGGACTCTTCACAAAAGTCCTGTAACTGTGAGAAATTTTGGAGTAATCTTAAATGGTAAGCTTAAATACATCATCCAATTTTCACCAATTCACTTTTTGTGCTAAGTACTACTTAAAAGACATGTTACGATGCTGAAAGAATATTTATTAATTCTTTTCAAAGAATGATAGATTCATTTTCTTTGATCTAGCTGTGTGATTTCGTGTCTTAAAAAGCTAAATTAAGTCGTCTAAAAATGGGCCAGAGATGAGAATTCTTATTTTTCGCACTCATACTTCCTTTTAATCTATCTTTTTAATAACTAAATAAATGTTAAATTCCTGACTAATTTTGAGCTTTAGTAAAAAGTAACCTTGCCTGTCGATACAAGAGAAGCCAATACAAGAATAAAGAAGAGTCTTGCAGTAAGTTAATTCTTTAATTTAGTATTTCTTAGCAATAAAATGTATCCTGTAATTTAAAAATCCCTTACTAAACGACATTAGTCTCTTCTTTCTCTGCGAGATCCGGCAAATAGCTTGTGGAATTTTGAAAAATTATCAAATTAAATAGTTGATTTTAAAATAACCTTTGCTTAATTTTATCAGCTAATAGAGATTTAAGAATTCTTTCTTTCACTTAGATTATCAAGAATTCCAATGCTTTAATTATTGTTCGCTTGGAATAATAAGCAAATGATTTAGAGTTTTATTATCATGTTTCCAACTTAACTTCAGAAATATGGGAAAATCTAAATCTACAATTAGAATTTATTCTTGAATAATCGCGTGTTTAAAAATCGTTAATCTTACCAGACGATCAATAAATACCCATATTAATTACTTCTGGCGCTTTGGTCTTAATAAATATTTTTGCTAAATGACATTGATCTACAAAACAAGAACTTTTTCACTAATTCTAAGCTTATAAAGCAATAATTAAACAATGATTAGATGCTCTAAATTTTGAAGGAAAGCATCTTCAGAGATAGACAAGATCATTTGTAAATATTTACTGTATATCCCTAGTTTCTATTTTCTTTCTTTAAATGGCTGTGACAAGGATCAGAAGATAAACTTACAAGCATCTCCTTCTAAAGCACAATCTTTGAAATAGAAATCAAAGTAGATTTTATCATTTGAGAAATTTTCTGTATTTTATGCTAAACATACTTCACAAGAAGTTTAGTTTCCTTTGAATATCACTATCCCTCTATCTTTTCTATCCCCAAAACTTTTCTTCCCTGCACTACTAAGCCACCATCTGGCTTCTTAAGCTATGCTAAGGGCCAGACCACTAGTTTAGAGGGCAAAAGAAGATTAAGAAGGATTTAACTGGGCTTTAGGAATGAGGATTGGAGTGGAGAATGGGCGAAGAAGGAAGCAAAGCGAGGGTAAGAGAGGGAAGAATGGACTTGAGAGGGATTAGAAGGGGGATTAGTGTTGTTTAGGGCAGAAGAAGATTCAGGTGAAGAAATTTAGACGTCCTTTGAAGCTTATTTCGTATAAGAGGAATAGATTACAGACTCCTATGGAGACTATTACAGGTAAGTTGAGTTATGAAGTCAGTAGAGGAAAGTAAGAGCATGATAAATTCAGGAAAAAGACTTATATAAGTTAAACAGTACAATATCTTTATTAAACATACTCTCATTTTCAACATTACATTTAAAAATTGGGGTTTTGGGGTTTTGGGGTTTTGGGG